AATAAATCAAATTACTACAAATTTTTGACCAAGATACATCTCTTTTTTCTAATTTCATAATAATTATCGAAAAATTAATCAATTAACAGCTTATATTAAATCGATATCAACCAATACAATATATATTCTACGCGAAAAATTTAATTGGATTATCTTCATACAAATTTAAAAATATTTTTTAGGTAAATAATATAATGAAAACTATTAGAGTTTATAATATATATTAATAAATTAGCACATCATGTTAATGTTGTTAAATAATTTGTATTCTTTAATAACAGTAAATAAGTAAATAATCTATTTCAAATTAGCCTTAAAATATAATTTCTTTTTTAATTATAATTTATTTTTCTTGGATGTACAGTTATAATTAAAACCAATGAAAAATGATAATGCAACCTTCTTTATCATTTTTATTAAAAACTTCAAATATTTATGATGTTTTATGATAGGTACTTGCATATAATATTTAAATTATATTGTTTCCTCGTTTTTAATTCAATATTTTTAAAAAAAAACTTGTAAATATTGATTAAATTATTTATCCTACAAGGATCAATAATTTATTTTTCTTAAATACACTATATTATGAACTTTTAGAGGTTAGTTAATTATTTGAAGATTTAATTAAAATTACTGAACTAATTTTATTATTATTATTATTATAATTATTATTTATTATGAGCTGCTGTAATAAACAATTAGGCTTGACTGTTAAATTAATAATTATCAACATAATTAAAGTTTCAAAATCATAAACAAAAATACATAAAGCATATTTAATCAGTTCCATTAAATATATATATATATATATATTTCTGAAACCTAAAATTACCATATCAATATTTTTGTTGAAATTAAAATAAATTGATGCAATAGGTTTTGTTTGATGATATTGAAGAAGTAAATTTATCTTGTATATTTCTAATGTACTTATAAAAATATAAAGGTGACAAAAACAATTTTTAACCTATTTTAATAAATTTTGTAATCATAAAAATATATTTAAACTAAACATGAGAATTCTTTATTATTTTACAATGACTTTCTTTTTTTAGAACTGTTACTCATTATAGATTAAGCGTTTTTATATTTTCGTGAAACAATTTTTCAAATGAAAATCAACGATATAAAGAACGAAAAATTAATTTTTATATGTATACATATTTTACATTTATATAAGAAAAGAACTACTAATAAATTAGAGTATAGAGAGTACAATAAGGTGAATATCATAAAGTACACTATACAATCATTAAATTTAAATTCAGAAATTAATTATTTTAAACACTGAAAATGATCATTGAATATTAGATGTATTTAATTATTGTTAATGGCTTAAATTAAATAAAAATTAATATTACTATTTTGTTGTGAGATACCGAAATTAACGAATTTCCCATATTATACAGTTTTTTGTTGTTAACAATTTTGTAACACGGCGTAATATATAGGCAATTGTGGTACTTCCCTATGTAGAACTGTAGAACAATATTTAAAATTGTATAATAATTTAATAATTTAACAAACATACTTATAATGGCTAAAATACAATTTGCTACTTAAAAGTAAAATTATTATAACTAAGGTTTGAATTTCAGATGCATTTTTTTAGGTTATATACAAAAATGCATTCTAAATACTGACAAGTTTATATTCGTTTTATAAACATTTAAAGTCAAAGTTTTTTTTTTTTTTATATTCTTTAGCACTTTTAAATTATTATTTTATACATTTTTAGTATTTATTTATACATTTATTTAGTATTTATTTAGTGTAAAATGTGATAATTTAAAATATTATCTGAAGAAATTTTGTTAGGTTTAACAACTATGACACGAAATGTCTCTCACTAAGTATTGTCCATCTCTTTAAATGTCTATACTTAACTTTCATAAAATTTAGAATCGTTTGGCAATAAGAACATCTTTCGTTATTATGATATAAGTTTAAAATATACGATTTTATGCGGCTATTCAAAATCTGGAGTATCGGGTAGATGCATAAATCATAGCCAATATGGGTACATTCTTTTTTTGAGACAACTAACTGTCCAACGTTTAATAACTAACGATATGTTATTTAATAAGTATGTTAATACATTAGTAATATTATTTCAATAATATAAATTAAATTAAATTAATAGTTCATTTTATGAAGTCTGAATATTAATAGTAAGACGTATAATAATATACAAAAACATTTTTTTGTTTTTTAATCATATTTTTTCGAAATATAAATAATAATAATATTTATAGAACTTATAAAGAACAAATTTCAAGAATTTTCATTAATTTGCGCGTTGCACTATGACAATCAGTTTCTTTTATAAATTGTTTTTACACTTTATGAATGTGACATGTGCAATATCATGTACATGTATTTTATCCTCAGGCAGTAATATAATAGGTTTCCTCCATATTTTGAATAGATTGTATATATTTTTTTTTTATTATTATTTAATGATTAACTGCATATCATATTATGTATGCACAAAACAGGATCAGAATAATAAATTTATATTATGAAGTACTTACATTTTATTTGTATAATATAGAGACTGAACATGCCAATCGAACTTTGCTTCATGGTACTACCCAAACCCAATAAAAAAATTGACTAACATTACTGTACTACCACTAGCAGTACGTTTGAATAATCCTTGAAAAACTACTATTATATATTTATCTATATTGCGTATATCTAGCAACCACTGTAATACAATTTTTAATTATATAGTTAGTACAATATGAATTAAAACTAATCAAATATTATCAACTAATAATGAAGAATTTCTCGTAAAAATAAAATATTTAATTAATTGACACATAGCAGCAATTGATTAATTTATATAATAATCCACCACGTACCAATAAAAAATTGTGTATGATTCTCAACTCCGTATAACTGTAGTCGTTAACATACGATATAATAAGAATATAATATTAAAAGCTTACCAATAAATATACAAAATTACTTATCATAAAAAAAATCATGTATATATAAATAATTACATGATCCATATGTTTAGCATATATAAATACGAGTAAATGAGATCAATTAAATATAAGTTATATAAAAATAAGCAGTCTTTAATTTCCAATTCAATGGTATTTTTAACACAATCCTGATTAATTTATCATTTTTTTTAATTTTTTTTTATGGAATTAACAGACAATAAATATATTATAGTTTTGTATAAGACAAACGTTATTGCATAAAATACAATATCCAACAGTATGATTAAAATAAATTAAGAAAGACAAAATGCATTTCTGTAATGATTATCTTAATTATTAGGATATCATCATAGCAGATAAAAAAATATTTTAAAAAAAGTCAATAAAAATTAAATTTAAATTAACTTAAAAAATTCATGGTTTGTGAAACAGCAATTAAATTTTATATTTTATTTTCTTCGTGATTGACTCAATAGTATTTAGTTTTAATTATCTTTTGAAAAACATATATATTTAAAAAAATATTTAAGAAATACTCATCATAGTAAAAATTTGAAATGTATCTTCATAGTCACACAAGATTAAATTATAACTATATTAACAATAAATTAAATGTTTTTTAAGTTTTAATACTCTAAATTCCTAAATGACTAATGATATTAAAATAATTTCTCAAATAATTTTTATATAACTGATTTGAGTTGATTCAATTTATCACGAGTTTGTAAAAAATGATCATGCTAGAGTTAAAGTATAAATTTTAATAACATAATTTTATATGATTGGAATTGAAGTAGAAAAAAAATCAATTATTTTCAAAAATAAAAGTTCAATAGTAATTAATCTCATCAAGACTTTTTTTTAATTTGTTTATGATGCAAAACTGCTATTTTAAGAAAATTAACTTTTCCAATTCTTGCTGATTTTTTAAGTTAAAAATTTTAGTTTCATTTTATTTTTAAGAAAAAAATTTTATATGTTTTTACATCGATTGTATTACGTTATTGAGTTTATAATGAATTTAAATTCACATAATTTTAATTAAAATGGTTGTTTATTAAATACATGCTCTAATTTCAAAATAAAAACAATCAATAGTATAAACTAATATTTTATTTTAAAAAAGAGTAATGATTAATTTCGATATACCGAAACTGAAATCTATTTAAAAAATAATTTAGGTTCCTGTCCTTGATTCAAACATGTCTTTAAAAACTAAAATAAATATAAATTCAAATAAGATATTTGATAATAATAATGAGAGAAATATGTTTTATTCCTAAAGTACAGAAGATCAACTGTAATTTTTAGAATACTACTGTACATCGGTGCAGGAATTACGATATTTGTTCACATATTTGTTTACATTTGTACCCATATAACAGTTGCTATTTTAACGTTTTGATTTTGCGTATACAACAAACTGAATTATTTAAAATGTCAAATATGTAATACAAAATTTACTAGTCTGTGTAAAAAGAAAAAAAAACTAAAACAAGGACTACATTTTTTTGATGTAATTCATGTATTGGTCAAATACTTCAATTGTTCCGTGAACGTTTTTTACTTGATAGATTTCGTCGGGTTCCTTTTTTATGTCCGACTCTATGGAGTATTCCGAAATTGCTTTATCGTTGTGATCGATAGTTGACGCATCGTCTGGTGCAGTATAATATTTTGGTCTATTGTCACCGCAGAATGACACCGATGCGCGATGCCGGTGTAACACTGCGGTCAACGAATTAGACGACTTGTAGTAATGCGACCGCTGCAATGCTGCTGCTGGCAATATATTATTCTCATTCATTCCTCAGAATTTCGTTTATCATTACATTTATTCTTTCGTATTTGTTGTTTACGGTTTGAAATAACGATAATAATACGATATGAAGTAATCCACAGATATTGCATTTGCATTACTGCAATAATAAAACATTAAATCGAGTTAGTTTAGTTTTAAATTTTACCATAAAAAAAAAATAAATAAATAAATAAAAGTATTGATGATGATGATATTACATATCATGTTTTGTGTTCCAGAAATTCTGTGTCCAACCCCAATCGTACCACTCAACGGCCTCCTGATCGAAGATTCAGCTCCAGGGCGTCATGTAGTCGGTTCCATGGTGCAATTTTCTTGTGGTGAAAAACATCAGCTGATTGGAAAGCCCAGCATGGTGTGCACGGAAAATGGCACTTGGTCACACTCTACACCATACTGTGAGCATGCATACGCTTTTAGATGCAGATAAAACTTTATTGTTTACATTTTGTTTGATACTATAGAATCTATACGCGACATGTTTCAAAGTTCAAATCCATTGCTTAATACCTATTTATTTAACCGCATGAAAAGATATTTCATACATAAAAATAACGTTACGGGGTAAAATGTGCACCACAATATTATAAAACTTTTACTATTTTATATAAAGTTTATTCACATAAACCGTTTAAAGTAAATATCGCTGATTTTTAAATAAGCCGCATTCAAATACGTAATATGTATAAAAGAATATAATATAATAGGTATATTAGTATTAATATGATTTTAAAGTAATAAGAATATAAATAGATATTATAAGTATAAGTTAAATGAAAATTTAACCGTTGTTTCATCATAATATATTAGTTTAAGCCAGATCTAGTTGATTTAGTTAAAAATACACTTCACAACCATTTAGATCTTACAATATTCAATATTATAGTATATTTAATGAAGATATAAATCTGAAACTAAGCCACAACGTGTTTAGATTTTAATGAATTTCAAGTACCTTCTCATATCAATAATGTTTTTGAATAAACCGCATTAGGTAATATTTAATAATATTAAATAGTATAATACGATTACAACGAACTTAGTTATCGTATTAATTTACTAAAGCTCAACGACAAGCATAATTTATAGTTCAGCATCTTATACACACGATTTATTTCAATAAGTGATATATGACAAATATACAGATAAATTTAACAAGCATGCTCATTTGTTTATCGCTCATATTCTTTTTTTCATTCTTCAATAATCTATTTATTTAAATTCTAATTTTTTGAAAGTCTTAATTATTCCTACTCAACGAATTTATTTTCAAAACTTGGTTTTTAATACCAATTAAAGATTATTATGTGAACATATGGCAATACGAATAATTATTTATTTTTTTAAATGTTTTTATTTTTAAATAATTTATGAGTAGACACATAAATATAGATTTAAAACACTAATACCTAAGTGACAAAAATAAAAATATTTGAAAACCAACGTATAAACATAGATTGTGTTAATATACCTTTAGATTATGATAATGTGTTCATACTTCGTTTACTATAATATTAAAGCTAAAATTTACTTTGTTGCATGATTGTAAGGCAGAAATTATCCATGATGGAGTATCATGTTTCCCTAACAATTTATCATAAATAGAGCAATTAAAATTGATGAGTCGCTTAGCCATGGAGTAGTTGTCGAGTATACCTTACCATTGAATTGATTACCATATCATTACATACGATAAAAACATAAGATTAGATAAATTTAGGTTAATAGAATCTCTATTTCTGATAACATTTTATCACATACTCCATTTCTATTAGTAATACGATAAATTGGACCAATTTTTGAAAAAAACAAATCGGATTAATTGTATAATATTATTAATTCATACAAATTATGTTACCATATTATCTGGAAAATTAATAATTTAATACATAATATATTGTTGGAAAACAAAATATTCAAGTAAAATTACCCTTGACAAAATATCTCGCATAATTATAAATTCAAAACTCTAAGATGACGCTACACGGCTACAGTACTACACTCATATTTAATGTCTCCGTCTTAGAAAATTTACGCTCAGCAGTTTACGTTTAGCTTCGTTAGTTTAAAAATTAGAGTGACTTGACTTATTATGAAACTTAATAGTTAAAACATTACTTATGTTTGTATCTTACATAGTTAATATTTTTTAGCAAGTTTTGCATATATAAAATTGAATAATGTTCATAACTCATTAAAAAAATTTACAATTTAGTTTCATAATTTATATATATTTTTAATTTTTGTAATTTTGTTGGGGATATTGTGACTGAGATATTTTGACATACCCATAGAACCATGTAGTTACACAATCATGCAATATTATTATTAACCAATTTGGTCGATCGCCATTGCCAGGTATATAGTAGTAGCCAGGATTTTATTTAAGTAAAGTTTAAATGATTTTGAACACAATTTTTATTTTTTATTTTTAAAATTTTCAGGGGGATTGGGATCAGACCTCATATTTTTCCCCTGCATATGTACTTGGATGTTGCATAAACTGACATAATACGTACCTTATTTCAGCTGGAACCTCTTAATGTACTCGTACATATTATTTTAAGCATGAAAATACATTACCCGACAACAATATACATATTACCAAAACAAAACCGGCATTCCAACACTCGTATATGTAGTCGTATTTACTTTTTTTGAATAAATCGACTGGCCCTCTACGACAGTTAAAAAAAAATGACGTGTACACATTTTAAATTTATTTATCAATTCTAATAGTGAACATATCTATTTAAACATCGTGTTCTTAGTTCACACGTATGATTGTTGTTTTTGTATTTTGTACACCGGACGGATGTACATTTGGATCCGCGCCTCGTGAACAATAACCGGATACCCGACATATTATGATACCGCGGTGTGCGACCAATCATAATTTAACATAAATTCATTTAGGTGTATCAGCTATCAGCCTGCTCCAGCGTTGATCGTTACGAAACACGACTAATTATTCCGCGTTTATTATTGTTAATAATATTAAATCGTTATTATCACTGTTGCAGGCAAAGCCAGATGCGAGTATCCGGGCGAGCCACCCAACGGTCGTATCATACCGCTGAAGTTCTGGTACGTGCCGGGCGACAAGTTGAAAATCACATGCCTTTCCGGATACGTTCTTCCGCTACCGCTCGAGGCTAGTCCACCCGTGTGCCTCGGCAACGGCACGTGGTCGCATACGCTGCCCGAATGCATACAGTACACGGACGTGTAATCGAACGACGGAGATCCATCCAGACGTGTCCGGCTGGACAAACACGCGGTTTCCCGGATGGTGTGCGCACTTTCCTGCAAATCGCTCGCCGTCGGAGTTTTATACTAATAATTATGATTTATAGCCACGACGTCGCGTCTATTTCTTGTAATAATTATTGTGCGGGTACACCGCAGTTGTAATATATTGTTTATCCCATAGGAATAGGCTCAAGTATATATATATATATATGGGAGGAGGGGGGTGAGAAACTTGAATGGCTCGAATTTAACATGCCCCCCTCTCTCGTCGAGAACGTATTGTAAAGAAATACAAATGTGCACGAGTTATCACGGATCGATACGCATAGGTAAGAAATATAATTATATAAAATTGTACGGTTATAATGTTATACCTAATGTATTCGATGAGTATTAGAAACCTACGTTGAAATATTAGTTAACCCTGTCATACCGGGTGAACTGTTTGACGCAAGACACTTGTTATCTCAAAAACTATTTATTTTTTTGAAAATATTTATTTTATATAATTTTAAGTACTCGATCAAATATAAAAAAATTTCTTATTATTATCTTAATGGTTTTTTTAAATTTTTACTTTTTTCTTTGAATATAAACACGCATTATTAATTTCTTATCTCTGATCCCAAAGCAGAATATATTTTTGAAGTATCCTTCGATACATAATAATAAAATCACGGAAGAGTAATTTATGAAGATCGTTTTAAGAAGTATAGACGAGGGGAGTGGAGTAGTATAGAAGTACCTCGCAAAATATCAGTTCAATACTCCACCCGTCTTAACTTCAAACTACTTCTCCTAAATTTAATTTTCATGAAAAGAAATACTCCGAATAGTATTCTGCTTTTAATTTGAAATTAAACAGTGAAAAACATAAAGAAAATAATGATTAACAAGGATAACATTTTTTTCTAAAAATACTTTTTTATCGCTACTTTTTTATTTATTTTTTTTCATTAAAATATGTTCAAAAATGTAGTACTCACTGAAATAATAAATGTCTTATGTTAAATTTAATATCCCGTATTAATGCACACCAATGGCCGCAGCATCATAGTGATTCATATCATTCCTGTGTCATTGTAACGGTAATATTTTTTTACCATTTTGCGTATATAAACAAACATTATTGTGTTATATTTAGTTCAATAAACTGAATATTATATATTTATTTTTTTTTTTTTTGTAAAAAAAAATAACCATTTAAAAATGTAGTAATGCTAGAAGTGGAGCGATAAAAATTATTTTTAAGTTTTTATCATTTGTATTGTATAATAATATCGATTTAATATCATCTCAAATCCCGTTCCCTGAATTTAAAATGCTATTTGTGCCTATTTATAAACGTTAGTAACCACGTCGTAGTTAACGCCTTCTACTCTTGTCGATCACGGACATCCGATGCATTACCACCTCATAATATCTTGTGTAAAATATAATAATATGCACTTTTTACGGACTAGTAATACTTTTTTTAATTATTTTAACACCAATTGAGACGTAACGATGTCATCCTCGAGGTATGATTACCGTAGTTTAATCATCCATAATCGAAACAATAATATTTATGTCTCATTTTATTGTTGGCCACGCGTATTCACTGTTAACTTGTCAAATTTTATCATTTATGATAAATTGTTACCAATTACTGTTACGCTGTACATACCAACATACATTATTACGTGCTTTTATATACATAAAATGAAATAATTGCAAGTACCTATGATAATATAACATTATTATGACGTGTATTATCTTCAGTCGAGTGGGTCAACGTGTTAGTTTTGTTAAAAACTGTTTTTCAAAGCCATCAAAAATCACAGCGTAAACATTATTGGACACTTCTACAAAACGTTGTCACAGAAAGCTCGTGTCAACGGTGAATATTGTTGTATATATATATAATAATAATAATATATCTGTCAGATTCCTCTGTACTGAAATGGCTCAAGTTTGATCCCGACAATTGCACCGGATTTCCGAGTAGCTATATATTTACGGCCATGGGCGATAATTCTGATTCTGCGTGCTCTCTGACTACCTGCTTTGCCTAGTTTATCTCTCTCTCTCTTTTTTTCTCTTTATTTTTATTATATTTGAACTTATGTAATTGACGTAAAATGAAAATGGAAAAATATAAAACGCTTTTGTCCTTCCGTTCGAAAAACTGGGATACAATCTCGTGGTCGATTTTCAACGGAAAATATCTGTTAGTCGATGTTGCTTTTGGCTACGATGATTTTCGCTAGTGGAATACTTACATCTCTTCCCAGTAATAACCACAAACTAACTAAAAACATTTTCAAACATCGATTATATTTTCATTGATTTAAAACTTTATAACTTACAAAATTACTTACCTTGTGGCAAATACCCAATAACATATATACTATAATATCTATAAAATGTATTTTCAATGTAATCAACAGTTAAGTGTCATAAACCAATTAATTATGATTAATATTAAGTAGGAACCGTTGTACATATTAAAATGTGTATAATATTAGATTTTAATTATTATGAAAAAAAATCCACAAAATACATGGTATGAACGGTGACGAATATATCATGTAATCATATTATTATAATATATTAATAATTTATATAAACATAATAGAATTTAAAGTCATTTTTTATTTTGTTAATGGTATTAAAGATTTTTTTATGTAATATTTGATTGTAATAATATGATATAATTATGTAATAGTATAATATCATTATGTTATTATCTCTGTTTAAAAAAAAAAATATAGAACTTATAAATGTTTAAATTAATTATATACATGGTCTAAATTGAGTGGTTTTTGATCTACTTTGTATTCATACTTATTTTGTTTGATAATTAAAAATACATTACTATATTTCTATTGACCATTAAAATTAGATAATTTTACAACAGCTCTTTAAAATGCATGGTTGATAAACTTAATATTTACTATTAATATATTTTTAATATTTTCATTTTTATAGATGTTTGTGCTTATTTTTTTTTTTTAATTTACAGTACTTTTACCAGTATTCCTTAACGTATTTTGTGTTAGTGCCATATTAAACATTTTTCATCCGAAAGCAAGCCAATTATATAGCTAACGGCCTTTTTTTCATACATTGTATTCCTTCGTTTCAGAAATTTGGCATCCTATCAATGTTTAAAATCCAAGTTCAGTAGCAGGTGTAAGGAAAAATATTGCCAGGAAATTGAATTTGGTGTTTCTGAAATTTGCTACCACAAGTAACCGTAATTTTAACCTTTCAAAGTGTAGCTTAATCGTGCAAACCTTAATAAAGATTCAACATCAATTGTAGTGGTACTCTTAAATATTTACTTCTAAAAATAACCTTATCGTAGCTTCCCAAACTTACTATACTCACTAATAAAATTGTAAGTACATTGTAGAACTTCAGTAATTTTAGACATTATTTTTTACTATAAAAAGTTGAAGTCGACAAGCAAAATACAACATTTCTAATATTAACCAAGTTATGAGAAAACTAATAGTAAAAATATACAAGCTTTTTAAAATTATAAAATTTATATAATTAAAATTAATTTATTTTGATTTAATAAGAACTCGTATAAACGGGATAGATACTTAAATAAAAAATTACTTTTTATATATTTGAAATATTTAATACTAATTTAACTAAAACAGTGTTAATAACGATACGAAAATAAATGATCACCATATTTTTGTATATTATTTATTATTTACTATTTTAGATGAATTCATTATAAAATATGTATTATGTTTATGGATTTATAATGTTTATTGTATGTACATATTTGAAATTTTCAAATAATAATAACAATATTTACGTCTAATTGTATTCTTATTTGTAAACAATGTATACCTTTTTTTCTTGCTCATGCTTTATTACCTATATTGGTATTTTTCATATTATTGTTATTTAAATATACAACTTAAATAAATTGAAAAACAATCCATATCACTCAAACTTACTACATATATTAAAAACGAGTTTAAACTCAACATTTAAACACTGTATATATTAAAATAACGTATAAATTATATTTATTTATACATAATAATGTATAATATCAAATATAGTATATATAGATAGTCAGATTTATTAAACTTCGGTGATTTTAATTAATATTTAACTAATAAAAGTGAAATATTATAAATTAAAAATGTCATGTGGATTTATATTTTGAACTTGTAAGGTCATTAAAAATAGTTTTCACTTCGTAATGGGTTTTCATAACAATTTAGATTCATCGCAAGCTTTAAGGACAACAATACGACATATCTTGGAATTCTCAGAGAATTTTGTTCATTCATTGCGCTAAGTTCTTAAGTTTCGTCTCGAATTATACTTAGTTTAATTTTAGTTTACAATATATTTTCTTTGTCTATTAATTATGGAATTCAATACAACTAAATAATAATTACAAGTTAATTAATACGAAAAAGTAAATGTACGTAATTTACATAATCTTATATTTTAATAATATTTTAAAATTATACTTAGCTTATTATTGTAAGCGTGCTGTTAGGTAACTGACGTCTGATAATGGGAATAGTCTTTTTAAATGTTATTATTGGATCACTCTTAAAAAAACCTTAATAATATATTATTTTATTATTATAAAAATAAAAATGCGTTAAAACGAAAATAGTAGTATTTCGAGTATCTTTATTTCATAATTCAATATGTAGGTTAAGTACTAATAGTAAGTTATACTAACAGTTGGTAATGTTGGTATAAAAAGTACTTTGCATGATACATGTTGTAATAAATTATATTTTTGGTGTTATTTACATGAAAATATTACATATAGGTATATATAAATATGTATTTTGTATACTATAAGATAATATAATTTTTGAAACCAATTTTAATATTTTTTTTTTCCAAACGTTAATAATACTTAGTAAAATACTCAACCCTCCCGCCCAAGTACGGCTGGCCTTATAAAATACCCTGTTTTATATATTAATATTTTAATTATTGTTGTTGACTCATTCCATAAATCGTACCATCGAGTGCAAATTATTAGAGAACGGCATAAAGGTCGATAAATATATGACCCAAATACAGGTAGAGCATAGAGTCCATTTGCGTGTACAGATAATAAAATATTTTTGGGAATATAAATCCGTTGTGTGCGGTGTCAACTACATTAAGAATTATTCGTTAAACGCACACGCACACAGTAAGCTTGAACACTGTCGACCGAAATACCATCTGTTCCTTTGTGGTACACGCATTACGTGATTGCACATTATCTGACTTTTAAAAACCGACCGAATCACATAATAAGGACACGCAACGATGACAACATGGGCAGCTAACCTGCAGTACGCCAGTGCCCTAACCATTTTAGTCGAATACATTATTATAACCTTAGTATACGCGTAAGCCTATATGTTATTTCGGTATATATATATAGGGCAGCTCGAGTTCGCATTTTTAGACGATAAATTTGTTTTTTTTTCCCCACACCACCACTACTGTATGTATGTATTATTTTATACGACCATTGTCTAAATGTCTACTATACACA